CATTACTACTTCCCCACAAAGCAGTAAGTGCCGTAGGTCCGCAGCTCCTTACTGGGAAAACCAAAACTGCGGACGCCGGGGTCCGGCAGCCCCCCGCAGCGCTCACGGGGGGTGGTGATGGGGTACCGCACGCTGCCGTCCGCCAACCACCCCCCGTCGCACCGATCCAGCTGGGAAAACTTCCAAGCAGAGTAGAGTTGCCCAACTTTGGCGATGGTAGCCCCGTGGTTGCGGCATGCTTGCCCAGCCTCCTTGAAGTTCAGGTGGCCACGGATGAAGTAGACCTGGCCTGGGGATGGGTAGGGACATGGTGGGTGAGTGGCCACCATGGATGACCTCCTGGGAATGACCCCAGCCCTGATGAACATCTGAGTGGGCACTGTGTTGCTGTGGGAGGGACAGGGCACCCTAACACTACCTTGAAGAGCAGAGGTGAAGCAGAAAGCATCGAATCGGTCCTTCTGCTTGTCCCTGGCCCCGTAGGTCCGGACACCTGGCAGGAGCAGACGGCCACCACACGGCTCCCGGGAATTGATGATGGGGTAGTGGACAGTCCCGTCAAGGATCCAGCCAGCGTTGCACCAGTCCAGCCCCTCCGTCCAGGCTGTGGGGCAAGAGGCAGCTCAGCACTTCCCACTTCCCCATTCCCACACCCAGAGAGGTACATTTTGGGGCAGATAAGGGATTTTTTGGGGTTTTTTTGATGCTTCACCTTTGTAGAGCTGCTGGTAGGTGGCGAGGCGGGAGTCCTGCTGCTCGCAGGCTCGCTTGGCTTCCTGGTAGTTGAATTTGTAGCGCCCGTTGCTGGGCTGGTAGGGGAAAACAACGCCTGGGGGACAGGACCAGAGGGTGGGGGAGATGCTCTCCCCAAGGAAGCTTTGGCTTATCACCCCCCGAGGATTCACAGAATCCCAGACTGGTTTGGGCTGGAAGGGATCTTAAAGCTCATCCAGTTCCAACCCCCCTGCCAGCAGCAGGGACACCTTCCACTAGACCAGGTTGCTCAAAGCCTCATCCAACCTGGCCGAGAACACTTCCAGGGAGGAGCAGCCACAGCTTCTCTGGCCAACCTGGAACACTGTCTCACCACCCTCACACCAAAGAATTTCTTTCTCACATCTCATCTCCATCTCCCCTCTGCCACTTTCAAGCCATCACCCCTTGTTCTGTCACTCCCTGCCCCTGGCCAAAGTCCCTCCCCAGCCTTTGGTGCCGAAGATAAGGCTGGGGCACGAGGCATTGCAATAGGGGACATGAGGTGTAGAGGCAACCAGCCATGGACCCCCAACCCAGTGTCCCCTCTCTGCTCTCCCCCACATTCCCAATGGACACAGCAGGAAGGATTCCATCCTCACCTTCAAGGTGCAGAGTGAGGGAGACACTCTCATCCTCCAGCCCGTTGACGAGCTGGCAGCGGTAGCGTCCCTCGTCCTCCAGAGCCACGTTGGTGATGGTCAGTGAGGCGTCGTAGCGGTGGCTGTGCCGCAGGCGCACCCGCGGGCTCAGTGGCCCATAGTTCTTGTGGTAGAGCCCGTTGGTGATGATGATGATGCTCTCTCGGTAGTTGTTTGGTTCCACCTTGCTCCACTTCACCCGGTAGTTGCGGGGCAGGGCACGTAGGACACAGGGTAGGGTGGCTGTGGCACCTCGTTGTGTGTGCACCGTGGTGTGGAGGGGCTCCAGCAGGTATTGCAGGTGTGGGGGGGCTGTGGCACACCCAGGCAGCCCCAGGGTCAGCTCACCACAGAGCATTGCCATGGTCCCACCACTCCTCAGTGCCTCCCTCAATGTCCCTTTGACCCTCATGGGCATCTCCAGCCTGGTTTCCATCACCCATCCCAGCTCCTTTTCCCCAGTCTTGCAACCCCTGGGACCCTCCAGCATAACCTCCCTTCTCCAGCACCAAACCCAAACAGCAGCATCCCACCCTCTCCCCGGGTCCTGCTCCCTACCTGGGCTCCCTGTTGGTCGCTGGAAGATGCTCAATGCCGGAGATGCCACCAAAATCCAGAGGGAGCTGAGCAGGAGAAGCTGGTGCATCCTTAGAGCTGGGGGCAGGACAGGGCCTGGAGGAAGCGCAGGGGTCAGGGACATGCAGAGGAACGTACCCCAGCTTTGGTGGGGACCAGAGGATGTGGTGGGGGACATCTGCAGTGCTTGCTGTCAGGGATGCTGTGGTGTTGACAGATGACCCTGCTCCATTGGGAGCTCATCGACATTTACTGTGCAAAGGGGATGTCCCCTCACAGGACACTGAGCCAACAGAACATGCCAACCCTCCTCCCTGGTGTCCCACACCTCTTACCGTCCCCTGCCGCGTCCTTTGAGGAGCCACCGTCCCCATCCAACATGTCCTGCCCCAGCACCCGTTGCCCTTCTCCGTCACAGCCACCCCATCAAGAGCTCCGGAAAGGTCAAACCTGTGTCGTGGTGCTGCCAGGAAGAGGGGACACGGGGATGTTGGAGGTGGCGAGTGGGTGCTCCCAGCCAGCCCTTGCCTTGTCACCGTCCCGGGGTGGGCAGCGTCCCGGCAGCCCTGCAGCCCCACGGTCCCTTGGTGCCCACTCCCATGGTGCGCAGGAGCGGCGAGCGTTGGCCGTGCCCTCGCTCCCTGCCCTGTCGCCGTCTCTTCTCTCTTTCTTCTCTCTTTTTTTTCCCCCAACACCTCCCTGAGGAACGCCCGGGGAGGAGGAAGCACAATTTCCCATTGTGAGCATCTTTCTCTTTATTGTTCTGCTCGGCAAAACACAACGCGCCCGGCTAACAAACATCCCTTTATTTGCCGGCCACAGCGTCGGGGAATTCAGGGAAAATGCCAGCAGCCCCTTGGGCCGGCAAAGCCTCCCCTTGGCATCGGCCCCCGGTGCCGGGATGGTTCTCTCTGCTCCCACAGACACCAGGGAAATGGTTAAATTGATGTCCCCTCTGTCAAATCTCTGATGGGGGGATGCTGCTCCCATCCTTTGGGGCTCCCTTGGGTTGTGCAAGGTGGGTCCTGATGCTTTTGCATCCTACCGGCCTTATCCTGCCCTGCAGAAAGTCATCGGAGAGGCTTCTCCATCGTCACCTTGGGGCCGGGACGCTGCCGGCAGCAAAACAAGGCGACACAATGGGGCTGTGTTCTGGGCTCCCTTATCTTCTCCCTCCCCCAAGGTCCATCTCCAGGGGTGGAGGAAGCTCTTCTCAAAGGAAACACAAGACAAGCAACGTCTGTCCCCGGCACCAAAGGACACAGTGATCCCGGCTTTGCCGTGGCATGCACGGCACAGAAAACAAACCTCCTGGGGGGAAGCAGCACCAGGGTTTGTGCTGGCTCCTCGGCCACTTGTCCCCAGTCACTCTTCAAATTTGCTGCTTGGACAGGGCGGGAGGGGGGGGTGGTTAATGCAATCACCTGCCCCAGCTTTGGTGCCAGCAGGCTGGACTGGAAGCTGCTGAGGCTCTCCCAGTTCAAAATGGTCAGGGCTTTCGTTGATGGAGAAAAGGAGGCTGAGGGAAGAGCTCACTCTCTCTATCTCCCTGAAAGGAGGGTGCAGAGAGGTGGGGGTGGGTCTGTTCAACCAAGAACCAAGGGACAGGACAAGAGGAAATGGGCTCCAGTTGTGGCCAGGGCAGTTGAGATGGGATGTGAGGAAGAATTTCTTTGCTGAAAGGGTTCTGAGGCATTGGAAGGGGTTGCCCAGGGCAGTGGTGGAGTCCCCATCCCTGGAGGGATTGAAGAGTCGTGTAGACACAGTGCTGAGGGACATGGGTTAGTCACAGGGGACTGGTCAGTGTTGGGTTCATGATGGGACTCCATGAGCTTAAAGGGCTTTTCCAATCCAGGTGATTCGGTGATTTTAACGAGAAAAAGAGCTTTGCTCCCCCCACACAGAGAAAAGCTACACCACAGCAACACCCCACGCTCCTCTCCCACATCTCCCCACAGTTATTTTGTGGGTCCATGGCTGTTCAGAAAGCACCTGTGATCTCCATCCATCACAATCCCAGCTCCTTTCCATGACCCATGGGGTCCTAACCCCCCCAGCAGCACCTGGCCCTGAGGAACCAGCTCAAAACTCCTTGGCTGTTGGATGCTGTTTCCCATTTCTGTGGTGCCACAATTGAGCTGAGCTGTTTCTTGCATTTTTCCCAAGTGAAGGCAACAGCTACACCCCTCGGTCCTCACTAAACCACAGCCTGAACCAAAGCGTTCACCGAGGCCTCCACAAATGACTCATTCCCCTTCCCCATCCCGTTGGCGTCAGGGCATGACCCCAGCCCGATGCTGCTTCTCTGAGATCACCACTTGGCCCGGCACCGGGGAAACGAGTTACCGGAGTCACTTCCCAAACACACGATATGTTTTTACTTCTCGTCTCCTTTTCTCTTTCTCTCCCTTTTTGGGATTTGTCCTGGCGTGTTACAAACGCTTCTCAAAACAGAAACAGTCAAAGAAAAGCAAAGGAAACCTTCTCCTCCCGGCTCCCCCCATGTGTCCTGGCACAGGTTCCTGACAGCACCTTCTGACTCCACTCCTTGTTTTTCAAGGCTCAGCTTTTCCTCCTCCAGCCCCACAGACCACCTCTTCTCCAAAGCCCCCCCTGAACCATCATTTTTTTTCTACTGATCAAGGAGTTTAAATCTGGTTTTGCTGAGCTTGTGTCAGAGGCCAGCACCTCTGCAGCAGATCAGTCCCACTGTGCTTGCTGAACCCTCTGCCTGACCCAATCCCACAGAATCACAGAACATCAGGGATTGGAAGGGACCTCTGGAGATCATCCAGTCCAACCCCCCTGCCAGAGCAGGATCACCTACAGTAGGTCACGTAGGATCACATCCAGGTGGGTTTGGAATGTCTCCAGAGAAGGAGACTCCACAACCTCTCTGGGCAGCCTGTCCCAGTGTCCTGTCACTCTCACAGTGAAAAAGTGAAAACCACCACGTTTCCTCCATGCCAAACCTCCAGAAAGGCTGAAACCTCAAGGGTCCCCCAGCCACAGCTCCCCCCCACACCAAATCACACCCCGACTCTCTACTACCCAGCCAAGATGGATGCTGACATCAAAAACCCTGTGTCCTTCTCCAGCACAGTGGCCTGAGCCACCTGATATGGCAAAACCAGGTGCCAGGACAGGCAGCCCTGGGGTGTCCACGTTGGCAGCACCATCCTGCTCCCGTTCAGCTCTTCCACCTTTGGGAAGCACCGAGGCGAGGGCAGGACCTGGCAGCCGCCCCAGCAGGGCGGAGTTGGCAGCCACAGCCCTTCTCTCCTTGTGTGTCCCCAGTTTTTTGGGGTTCTCCTGTCCTGGTCACCCCAAAACATGCCTGAGCAAACCATCACCTCGAGGCTCCAGCTCCCTGCCCTGTGTTTCTTCCTCCAAATCTTCACCATCATCCTCTTCGCTGTCTTTGTGCGGTACAGCCCAGAGAGCAGCTCCGGTCTCTGCTCCCAGCAACTCAACTGCAGTTGGAGAAACCAGGAAGAGGGTTTCCAACACCCCCGTGAGTATCCCCATCGCAGGTGGGTGCAGAGAGTGGCTCTACCTGGTCCCCAGGTGCAGCTGACAGGGAGGTATGGGATGTCACCACGCTGCAGACCTGTCACACCGTCCAGCTCTGGATCAGACTCCAGAGTAAAACAGAGGAGGGGGAAGATCAAGCTGCAGGGTTGGGATATTGGTGCATCCTACCGAGAAGGGGACAGTGGGTGGAAAGCAGACTTGCTGCAAGGATTTTCCCACACGCTTGGACAAAGCCAGGCGCAAAACAGGGATATCCGGGTCTAGGACATGTGTTTCCACAGCTGGAGGCACAGAGGGGATCACTCGGTGCGGTGACAAACCTGGGATTGTCCCAACATCACCCTGGGTTGGAGCACGGCAGCAGTTCCTGGCACTGTAGGATCTGCAAAACACCCCACTGGGTTTTGCAGCACCAAGGGATCTGCACCGAGCCCCTTTCACAGAGGATTCAGCTCCCCTGGTGCTGCCGCAGTGTCCAACGTGGGGCTGGGGGCCCATCCCGCCAGGAGCATCCTTCTGCATGTTGGACATCGTGATGAAACTCATCCTGGGCTGGGGGATGAGGGGCTGATCCTGGCTTTTCTGTAGCAAAGACAAGGCAGGAGGTTGGAGCATGTCCAAGGGAGGGGTGCTGAGCAGAGCCCAGCTGCCAGGCAGGGAGCAGCCAGCGGCAGGTTCTCCCGGTTTCTCCTGCCCACTTAACCCCACCCAGCACAGAGGGTGACTCACCGCTCCGGCACACAGGGCACAGCTCTCGGCACCACCGAGTGGTGCAAAGGGCGTTTCAGCCCAAGCGAGAATCAGGTCCCCTCTCCTCTAACTGGTCCCAGTTTGCTGTTCATGCTTTTGGTCCTCTTGTCCCATGAAGCGGGATGTATTTTGAGGGGTAGCAGAGAGGTCCCGGGGGGTGGCTGATGTCTCAGATCCACCTTTGCGATGGTGTCATGGGTGCACCTGGCTCGTGGCCACCTCAAGAGGTTCTGGATGAACCACGAGCACGTACTGAGGTGTCTACACAGGGTGGTTGCAAATGGGGTGGCAGGGGCCACATCAGGGGAGGGCAGCTTTACCTGTCACTACTCTATGCAACAACTGCTCATGCTCTTCGCTGGAGATCTCCAAGGGAGATCCAAGGCCAAATCCAGCTGATTCCAGAGACACGTAGGTGGAGCAAGGCTAATTTCACAGAATCCCAAAATGGCCTCGATTGGAAAAGCCCTTCAAGGTCATTAACTCCCATCATGAACCCAACACTGACAAGTCCCCGACTAACCCATGTCCCTCAGCACTATGTCTACACCACTCTTCAATCCCTCCAGGGATGGGGACTTCACCACTGCCCTGGGCAACCCCTTCCAATGCCTCAGAACCCTTGCAGCAAAGAAATTCTTCCTCACATCCCATCTCAACTGCCCTGGCCACAACTGGAGCCCATTTCCTCTTGTCCTGTCCCTTTGTCCTTGGTTGAACAGACTGACCAGCACCAATTTATATCAGCTGAAGATTTCAGCTCCCCAAAACCTGTTAGAGCAAGGG